TTTTTTTATGTATTTAGTACAGGGCCTACAGGGTCTCACTATATAGATCAGACTCACAGTGATCCTTCTGTTCTCAGCCTCCCCAGTGGTGGGATTACAGGCACGCTCCACCAGGTCCAGTCTCAATTACCGTCTCAGCGTGGCCCGGGGGCAGGGCTGGCACAGCATGCCAGGGATCGAACCCTGGCCGCTGCACTCTGCCTAAGCAGGCGCTTTAGTCTGCTGAGCTATCTGGACAGCACTTAAGTTTTCTTTTCTTGAGAACAACTTCAGGTTTTTTTTTTTTGGATTCATTATTCTTAAAATACTGGCAACCTGTCAAATAATTAAATCACTTCCTGATCCCTAGGAGAAGCACAGCCCACAGTCTGAATTCACCATTGCCAGCCTGATAGCTACTGTAACTGATATGTTTGGAGCTGGAACGGAGACGACGAGCACCACTCTGAGGTATGGACTCCTGCTCCTGCTGAAGCACGCAGAGGTCACAGGTAAGCCTGCAGAGGGGCAGCAGGTGCGCTGCAGGGCTGGGGACGCTGCTGGCTTCTTCCCTCTTGGGTCTCTAGCGAAGCTCCATTGTTGAACTCTGGCTCACACTATTATTGGTAGATATGTGATGAAAAGACATTTTTCACCAAAGGGGAGAGCAACTGAAAAAAGGGAGACCGTATAAACAGTAGAGAAAGCATCTCTGGATATTAGGAACAAAACACTCTGAATGAAGGGATCTGCCTTTCCTGGGTAGGAATCATCACACTGGATTCCTAGCACTGAATTGGCTAGGATTGTGTGTTAGTTTTCTGAAGAGCAGGCCCCTTTGAATGGTAGGGATGCTTCATAGTCCATTTTCTTTTCCTATAACAAAATACTTAGGGCTGGGTAATTTAGAAAAGAAAGGTAGGTCTATTTAGCTCACTGTTTTGGAGGGTCAAAAGCACAGCGCTCACACCTGCCTGGCTCTAGCGAGGGTCGTATGTTGGACAACGTGGTGATTGCTTGAACACACGTGAGAGTGGCAAGCGGCACACGTGGTTGTGGGAATCAGGGAAGTATTGGCCTTGTTAAAATAATTGCCTCCTAAGAATTACTCCTCTGTGAGCCTACCTTAATCCCTTCTTGGTGGCATTACCTTAATCCCTTCTCGGGTGGGATTCCATCCCATTCAGAGCCACCTCCTTGAACATTTCCCTGTCTCTCGAAATTGCCACACTGGCGACCAAGCTTCTAGCATATGCGGGTGCTGTGGAAGAAACCCTAAGGCCACAGCATTATGTCCTTACAGATCTTTTCTTATTATGAGACTGTAGAGTTTAATGGCAGCATGGGGAAGACAAACTGTATTTATTGGAGGATAATAGGAAATGTTCTAATAAGGAAGATTTATAAAAAAAGGCTATGATGTTTAAGCAGATGATATACCTAAGGAATTTTATTGTTCCAGAAATGCATGTCAAGAAAAGTTTGCCAAAAAAATGAGAATTTTTTCTTCCTTTTTTTTTTCTCAAACTCAGGACCTTGCACATCCTAGGCAGGTGCTAATGCCGCTGAGCTATCTCCCCAGCCCAAGAACTTTTCTTAAGCTCACTCCTTTTATCTTTTACAATTTTTTTTCCCCAGTGGTGCTGGGGATTGAACCCAGGGCTTCACACACACAAGGCTCTACCACTGAGCTGCATAAACAGCCCTTAAAAAAAGTTGTAAAAATTCTAAAACAATTTATCTAATTTTAAAAGATTGTAGTTCTGAGAAGGCATGGTGTGTGCACCTGCAGTTCCACCATCTGGGAGTCTGAGGCGGGCAGATCACGTGGGCCTAGAAGCACGAGACACTTGGATGATGTATCATGACTCCTTCTTGCAAAATTCTCTGATATATATATATATATATATTTGGTCGAGTTTCAACTACATGATAATGGACTAATTATAGGTAAAAATTACTTCAGTCTGACTTGGAGAAGACAATTACAAGAAATAGTGAACCAGTCTTTAGCCCCTTTCAGAAACACAAAAAATACCAGGAGGAAACAGCCGGTTTGGCATGGAGATCGAAGTGCCAGCCTTCATGTCCTCATGAGGAAAATCCATCCTGGGTAACAGGCTGATCTGTGCATTTGTTGTCCCCGTGGTGTCAGTACTTGGAAGAGCCAAATGCCGAGAAAAGGAGAGGGAGAATGCCCCTGCAGATGGGAGGCTCTCCTTCCACACCTCCACGTATCAGGTTCATTTATTTCCTCTAGAGGAAGCTGAAGCTCATTCTAGTGAAGCCTCAGAGGCTCGGCATCCAGGGAGAGAGCGAGATGGAGACCTGGAAAGAAGGGCTGAGTGAGAGTCTTCTCAATCCTGAGGCCTCTGAGGCCTTTCTTCATTTTGCTGATGAAATCCATTGTCCTTCATAAGCTCCAGAGCATGGGAAGTGGCAGTGAAAGGATCTCCAGTTTTTAAATAACTTAGAGAGAGAATTTACATAAAATGATGGACAATGTGATTGAATTGAAAATATCTACCTCATGAAACAGGTTCATGGAATTTCCGAACAGCAGACCTAAAAAGAAATAGGAAGTTTCACAGTTAAATCAGGATGGCATTAGAATTCTTAAGAGCAGTTGTTGTTATCTTTGTATTTATAGATGGAGAGTTTTAGTCCTGTAGGCTGGCAAATATTTTATTCTATATTTTGCTCTGATGGTTAGTTCCTTTGCTATACAGAATATTTTTGCTTGATGTAATTCCACTTCTCTATTTTTCCTTTTGCTTTCTGTGCTTTTGGTGTTTTCTCCAAAAAAAAATCTTTGCCCATTCCACTGTCTTGAAGCATTTTCCTGGTCTACATTCAAGTCTCTTTCCAATTTGAGGAGGACTTTGTAACTGATGAGACAGGGCCGTGTCTTTTCACCCTACTGCATGTTAATACCCAGCCTTCCTCAGCACTATTTATTGACAAGACTGTCTTTCCTTCAATAAGTATTCTTAGTACCATTATTAAACATCAGTTGGCTGTAGATGGATGGGTTTATTTCTAAGCTCTGTATTCTGTATGTTGGACTGTTGTCTGTTTTTATGTCAATATCATGCTGTTTTGAAATGTATCAATACATAATTCAGCTTTATAGTATAGTTTGAAATTGCCTCTATTCTTTTTGCTTAAGATGGCTTAGGGGATTCAGGGTACCTTAAAGGTCTTTTTTTTTGATCCATACAAGTTTTCTGGTTGTTTTCCTACTTCTGTAAAGAATATCATTGTTATTTTGAAAGAAATTTCATAGAATCTGTAGATCACTTTGGGTGATCATAACATTTTAAAAATACTAATTTTTCCAATGGATGAACAAGGTACATTTCTTTTTTTTTTGCAGAACCGGGGATTGAACGCAGGCCCTTGCACTTGCCAGGGAAGCGCTTATTCCACTGACCCATCTCCCCAGCCCCAGGGTACATTTCAGGTTTTGATGTATCCTCTTCAATTGTTTTCATGAGTGTCTTAGAGTTTTCATTGCCTCTTTGGTTAAATTTATTCCCGTGGGATTTTTTTTTTTGTAGCTATTATAAATTATTCCATTTATAGGGATTTAATTGTTTCTATTCAGATAAAAAAAATTGGCATCTAGCAACAATATTGATTTTTTTAAGCTTTTTAACTTTTCTTATTTTTATTAGTATATGCTTGGGGTACATAATGATTGTATCCACTGTGGGGAGTTGGTGTATGTAACACATCTCCATCGATACTGATCTCTTATTTTATTTTATGAAAAAATAAAACAATTTTATAACAAAATAATAAGAGAATAACAGTCATTATCTTCAAAGTACTTATTCAGAATACAAGACATGGATGAAAATGTCAAATG